CATGGTGTCGTTAGTAACCTGGCAAAATGGTATAATCTACCATTTCCACTCCCCTTTTGGCCCTTAAGTTTGTCAGTAGGCTGAATGGTTACCCAGATCCTTGTAGTGGGCTTTTAGTTTGGAGGTTTCCAGTGGGGTGGTTTTGAAGCACCGACCCTAGGGAGGATGCATGTCGCCTCATCACTGTTAATATGCTTAGGGATCTGGTGTGGATCCTAGAGCCCTTATGTCATTGTGGACAAGAGGTGGGCTTGTTCAAGGCAGCTTTTCTGGTAGCATTTTTGGAGCTTTTTGAATCAGCAAACTAGTACCTGGGTCCTGTAGGGACTCTTTTGGAAGGGCTTTGGAATTGGTGGTTATACACTAGGAGGGGCAATCGGTGGTAATAATCTTGAGGAGGTCAAAGATGGATCAAGGAGGCCAGGGCAAGCCATTATTTTACAGGAGGTGTGGTGAGCCTGGGATCTGCCCTTTGGAGGCTGTGAGGGCATACATGGCAATAAGACCAGGGAGGGATGGGCCCTCTTGATTCACAGTGATGGGAGTCCCCTCACAATCTACCCCTTTGTTACAGTTTTAAGATGGGAACTGACAAGGTTGGGGCTTCCCGAGGCCGGCTCCAGGCACCAGCTTGCCAAGCAGGTGCTTGGGGTGGCCACTTCGGAGAGGGGCGGCAGGTCCAGCTGTTCGGCGGCAATTTGGCGGACGGTCCCTCACTTCCGCTCGGAGCGAAGGACCTCCCGCCGAATTGCCGCCGCAGATCGTGATGGTGGCTTTTTTTTTTTTTTTTGCCGCTTGGGGCGGCAAAAACCCTGGAGCCGGCCCTGGGCTTCCTGCACATGAATTTGGCTCCTACTCATTCAGGATTGGAGTGGCACCAGCAGCTGAGTCTGGGGACAAGTGCAATTCAGGCAAATGGGTGTTGGCATTCTGAAGCACACACAGAATGTACATGAGACTTCAGGTGGGGCATCAGAACACTTCCAAGTATACATGCTGATGTATTACAGACAGATAAAAGGAACTGATGGCCAGAAATCTTGGGGGAGAGGGGGAGGGGAAAGGACATTCCTTTTCTTAACTACCACTCTATTTCCCCCGTCCCCACTCCCCCAGCCAATGTTACCTTTATAGCCACATTGGGGAAAATTCAACCATCCTGTTTTATTCTGATAATACAAAATTGCAATTGAAAACTAATAGTAAAGCAAAGAATATTCAAAACACCTAAAGCCATACCCTGCATAAAATGGACGCAGAATAGTATTGGAGGCTATCAGACATAATTTGTATCACTATTACCGTACCTCCTGATGGGATTTTAATGGTAATATTTCTAGAAAAGTATAACCTTCTGTTGAAATGTACTATATAAAAAAAAAAAAAAACAAAGGAAAAATACAGCTTGGACTGATTGTATTTAAAAGGAGGAAGAGTAAAGAAAATATTTTTCATAAAAATTGTAAATAATCTGCAATACATTATAAGCAAGCTGCATTATAGGCATTCTGCTAGTTTTAAATGATGGGCAATAATCTCTCCACAGTAATACCCAAACAACACTATTGATTTCAGTGGGGTTGTACAAGTGTAACAGAGGGAAGAATTTAGTCCATTCTGTGCACTTACATCCAATTATTATATTACCCACAAAACGTTCTTCCTCAAATCTTAATGAACACATTATTTCAGGGTGCATCTCACCAAAGGGGGATTGAAATCTCTTTTGCATTTGAAATGGCTTGCAGGTACTATAGCTATGTCATGCTTTCTGTACTTTTTAACCACAACATAATGCATGGCAGACAATGGGTGAGGTTCGGGGCTGGCTTTCCAAGAGGTGCAGCACAGAGGGCACAGCCTATGGGGAGGGATCAAAGGTAGCTTTAATCAGGAGCAATCCAGAATTGCTATAGAGCTGTGCACTACAGTCCCTCTAATTCCCTGCACTGTGGTTTGCAGGGGTGGGGAAGCAGCATCGGACCACTTAGCCACTCCTATGCTGTGCTTAGACTGGGGGAGCTCTCCCCTGGGCACTTGCAATGATGTTCCGGCCCCTCTTTGCCTTCTATCCAGAAAGAGTTGGGTAGGTTATTTGCCAGTCAGAGGGCTGAGGTTCCAAGTCCCTTTATCACATTAAGTGTAATGCTAAAGGCAATTTTCCAAGTGTTAATGGACCAACCAGACTACGAGGACAATAGTAATGGTCACTGCCAGAATATGTTCTGGCTCACTAAGATCAGGTAGTAGCATGGATCTCCTCTGGGAAATCTGTCAGTAAGAGCTGAATATGTTAGAGGAAACTCTTCGGGGAGTGACTGTATGAAGTGAAGGTGAGCAAATGTATGCAGGTTCTGCAGAAAATGGGCCATGAAAGCTACACGGTAGAGCTCTACCGGAACCAGATTTTTTTTGTTTTGGGAAAGTGGTGCAATTTCAAAATTTCTTCTGCTCCAGAAAGGAACAAACAAAATTCAAAGCATTTCAATATATGTCATTTGAATTTCAACTTTTTTTCATTTTCTGTATCATTTTATAATATAAATTGAAAAAAAGAAGTCATTTTGAAATGAAAAATTAAAACATTCTTTTCCAAAAAGGTTGACATGGAATATTCTGACCTTACCAAAACTTTTATTTTCAATTTTTCATGAAATATTTCACTTTTGATGAAACAGGATTTTCCAACAGAGAAACATTCCACTGGAAAATTTCTGACCAGCTCTACTACATAGAGACGAGAAGTTCCCTCCAAATCCCTAGCTGCTGGATCCCTGCTACACCCATACGCTCAGTTTCATAGGGCAGTGGCCTGGATAGAAGGGAGAGGAATAGGGAGCAATCATTCTGTTGCAGCATATTCCACTCTGGAAAAGGCATAACTGGTGGCCGATGCTTCTGAGCAGCAGCACTCTTTATTACATAGTGTGTGTTCCCTAGTCAGAGGGGTCACAAGATCACTGCTGTGGTGGAGTATCCATATTGCTGGAACAAGGAGTGGGTATAATGTGGGGGCAATAGGGAACAGCAAGTAGGGCTTCAGATTTGCTGTGTCTTTATGATCTTTCCTTAAGGATATCTGACCTGCATGCACCAGGCTGGTGATATTGAAAGAGGATGGTGTGGAACCGTGGCTCCTCGAGTACCCTTGTGTGCATTTCCATTTGGGAAGGGGAGCATAGAGCTCCCCAAAATACAATAATAATTGAGTAGCAGAAACAAAGAGTTTTGTTGTTGCTTTACTAGAACCTTCCTTTTCAGTCACTCAATCAGGGCCGGCTCTGGCTTTTTTGCCGCCCCAGGCAAAAAAGCCTCCCGCCGCCCCCCTCCTCCCCCCAGGAGCCCGGCCGCGGGCTGCTCTCCCCGACCGGCTGGAGCGCCGGGGGGAGGGCAGCGCGCCCGCCGCGGCTCCGCTGGCGGCCGGAGCCCGGAAGGAGAGCGGAGAGCCCGGCCGGGGCTCCGCTCTCCCTGGCGGCCAGAGCGCTGGGAGGAGGGCGGAGAGCCCGGCCGGGACGCCGGGGGGAGGGCGGCGAGCCCGCCGCAGCTCCGCTCTCCCCGGCGGCCGGAGCCGGAGCACCACACCACCCCCCTCCAGGTGCCGCCCCAAGCACAAGCTTGGTGGGCTGGTGCCTGGAGCCGGCCCTGCACTCAATACACTCTCCCTGAGGAATAGCAACTACACTTATTTATCCAACGCTGGTTCAGGCTGAAATACTCTGCCAGAAGAATACATTTAAATGGTTGTAAAGTAAAACATGTCGTTATGCATATAGCCCAGTGCTGTTTCAGCAATACATTGAGTTGCCATATATGAACCCTAACTGTGGAACTGATTGGGACTCTGATTTCTTAGCCTATAAAAGTTTGAACTAACAATATTCATGGATTCCTAGGAGTTAGAGAGACTAAAAACCTATTAGATTATCCATTGCATCTTTCTATTTGAGCAGGTTTGCTCTCTACAGTGTATCTCCTATTGCTTTGAAGTCTGGTTTTAAATGTGTCAAGCAATGGGGCTTCCATTGCCTCCTTTGCACAGGTATTTCACAGTCTAATAGCCCTCACAGTTAGGAATAAGCAAATGATTCCCAATGAATAATTTTATTTCATGAATTTAACCTTTTTTTTGTGTTCACAGGCAATCTGCAAGTGGTTCATGATTTCTCACATGTATTTGATGTACATCTTTAAAAATGTTTTACTTTATGGATTGTTTTTATCTCCTGATTAGATGAGCATGTAGGTACTTCTGGTTTGAATACTTGTGCATGCAAATTTAAAATTTAATTTCTGGGAATACTTGTGCATTCAGCTATTAAATTAACTTTCCATGAATATTTCCGTAAACTTCAAATGTTTGCAAATGAAAACATAAAAGGTATGTGAGAATGGCCAATGTAAATTAACGTAGGGTTTTATCCTTGTACCATCAAAATCAACAGGTGAGTTGCCATCAACTTCATTGGGCACAAAATCAAGCCCTTAAAGATTTGAACTAATATGAATGGATTATTTATTTATTTGTTTATTTATTTATTGCATTACACACTCAGCTCTAGTTAGGAAGTGTTTCCTGAGGTTTAGTTTACATTTGCCTAGATTTATGGTAAGGTACCAACTCTTAATAGAATTAGGATATTTGGGGATAATGTTGTGGTTTTGGTTGGGTTTGTTTTTCAACTTTAGTTCATATTTTTGATCACTTTTTGCTGAAATGTATCAAAAACTGAAATACACTATTTTAGCAATAAGTCAAAATTGACACACTTGTAGTGGAAACCTGCAACTAAAAAGTTATGTACGTTAAAATTATACCACAGTTATACGAGCGGTAAGTATTGTCAAGAGTAGCAAATTCTCTTTGCAATTAGCTCCATTGATATATTTTTAATTCATAATATCTGAAATTATAACTTGGATGAAACTGTTCTGCAATGAAAATAACAGCGATAAATGATAGCTTTCTCGCCCCTTTCCTCCTCCGCTCGCCCCCCACTTACGGTTTACAAGTCTGGCTGGCAATATTGGGTTGAACTTCTCGAGAGACTCCGCATTCTCATCATCTGTTACATACTCAAAGTTAATAATAAACATCATAGCTACTCCTTCTTGATTTTTCACTGGGATTATGTGGGTGTTGCAAATGAAGGTGGACCCTAAGAAGGGAGAAAAAGAAAGGAAGTTTATGTAAGTCAAAGAAATCTGCATAGTGTCTTTTTTTCTTTCACCAATAACTCCAGTAATGTCAAAAATCCTGCAGATTGTTTCTTTTGCTCACCCAACACATGAAGCATTTTTTATTTAAATAAGGCCATTGTTGGCACAGATTAAATGTGTCTTCTAATATCTTATCATGTGAACTTGTTCCAAAAGACTTCTCAGGTAAGTTGCCACTTTCTTTTGGTGCCCTGGTTTTTATTCATTGGAAATGCTTTGAACATAAACACACAGCATCACATTGTGGAGGTATTCAATATCAAATGCCACCAGCAAGCTACCCCATCAACCACAATGCTTACTGGAGAACACAAAGCCACATTTGCTTCCTAAATATCAGGGGTTCTTGAAGCTTTTTGGTTTGGTTACAATAGAGAGAATCACTCATGAAACATTTATGTGTGTAAATATATAGCTATTATTATTTTGGGGTCTTCACAATGGCATTTTGATTTTGTATTAAAAATGATGTTCATGGAAACAAGTCCTTTGTTTTTAACTTGATCATACTCACTGGTGATTCACATTCTATCATCAAACACATCTCCAAACCTTTATAGCCAAGGTTTTCTAACTTGAGTAACTGATGTTAAGCACCCAAATCCATGGTGACAGACCTAATTCACGAGGCCTGAATTTCAGACATGCTGACCACCACAACTCTTATTGAATTCAACAGGAGGTATGATTGCTTAGCACTTCTGAAATTTAGTGCCCTTTTACATACATATCCCTTAGTAGGGATTTAAAAGTTTTGTCCTATGTTCATCATAATAATTTTCCTTGGAAAACTGATATTGGACAAAGTCATTAGCTTCCCTCTGATTCCTGGTGTTACATTAGTGAAATGCAATGATTCCAATAATAATGTGATTGCTGTAAGCAATAAGATAATATTCTCCTAAAAGCTTCACACAAATACAACTGTGAGCAAGTGTCTTCCCAAGATGAGCAAGAACATCATCTGTAATTGATCCATTTGAATGTAATAATCAGTGAAATTCGACAGGCAGTGCAATTTTTTTAAGGACAGATCCTGATCTGGGTCTCACCACAATAAATCAGAAGTATCGCCACTGAAAAAAGAAATACTCAAGATTTACACCATTGTAACTGAAATCAGAACCTGGCCCCTAATATTTAAGGTAACATTTGCTATAATGTGGTATTTAAGGCAGCTGGAGCTATGGCTAAAAACGGACATGCTTCCCCTTCAAGTTTTGCAGCTGTACCTTCAATCCATTTAATAAAACAGTTAAGCTGTGGCACTTGCCACAGTTTCCATGGTAACAAAGGGGATGACTTTAATAAACAGAAAATAAGCAATTTAAGACTGTTCCATGAGAGCTATAAATAGAAATGCTGCAGGCCAAGCATTGCAACATAGACTGGTTAAACAGAGAGTCTGAAGAGAGGCTAGAAATAACCATTATGTTTTCAGCTAATTAACCAAAATACATATTGACTTTTAACACTTAAAATGACATTTCTTGATTCATTTTGAAAGACATTGTTACTTTCGAGTCACAGCTTGTTATTTTGAATTTTTCAGCATGTGGATTCTGTTGTGACATGTAGTTTTACTAATCAAGTGATGATCCTGCAACCTTCCACCTCCTGCCTCATGGAAAAATCAAAGGGCAGGAGATTGTCTTGGGAGGAAACTCACATGGATTTGAAGAATGCTAAACTCCAGTGGATCAAATGTTTATGGTTTTGGGAAACAAGGATGACAGTGACCCACAGCGTTGACTAAACACATGCTCAAGGCTACCGTTTGCACACAAGGGAGTTTTAGCTTTTGACGTCTTCCAGCAGCACGAAGTATTAATGCTATTTCACATTTACAGAGAAGATTTCACTCCCAAGCATGTACAAATGATATGTACACCATAGGTAGTGATTCACCTCTGTGGAGAAATACAGCACAAGAACATGACAGAAATTGAATAATACTGTGGCCAAAGGAAATTGCAGGGGGAATTTAGGAACACAAAGTGGGAGAGATCCTTAGCTGGTGTAAATCAACATAGGTCCAATGAAGTTGATGGAGCTATATCATTTACACCAACAGAGTATTTGGCCTAATGAATTTAACCAGGCTAGAATTTGTCCATCACACCAGGGCTTTTAAGAACTGCCAGGGGGTATTTAATGACTACAAGTGATCAGAGTCTACATGTTACATCTCATCCAAGAGATAGCACCTGCAGAAACACTCCACCTTTAAGGGAAAGGTGTGCCAGCTAACAAATTCCATAACACTACTTCCTGTACCATATAGGTGTTGCTTCTAGGCAGTCTATGCTTCCACTGGAATATACACTTGTTGCCAGTTTGGTTGTGTTTAAACCTTATAATGTGAACCAAATATAAGGCGAAGCCATGATCTCTGCCTGAGTCTGCAGACAGCCTGAAAGATAGCTCTGAGAACTGCCTCCATTCATCTAACTAGGGAGTTTACTCTGAAAGTTAAGGAAAATTAAATGTCTAAATAGTTCACAGATGATCATTTTAGTGGAAACATCAAGGTAATATGCTTATCCCACAATTCCAATCCACCTCTCAAGCCTTTTTGAGTACCAAACTCTGTCTCTGCCCTTTACCTAGCTGCCAAAATCTCTAGCTTCCCTGTGACAGCTTCTACAATGCAACTAAGTGTGATCAATATAAAAATTAGCAGCACATTGAAAACTGAAATGTGGGGACAGCTAAAATAAACTGAAGTTAATATCAAAATAAATATGACAGAGATTATTGTATTGATTGTACTATCACCAAAAACTTCCATTCTGCTGTACTGGACTACACAGTATGCAGGAAATCTTAAAGTAGAATTTAGACCCAGTTTGCTGATCATTAGTGAAGACCTTGCTTCCAGAGCCACCTCACCAAACCAAACCCCTTCTAGTTTATGAGGTCTGACAGCCTCAGAGCACAAGGGGCTATGGTACCAGCTAAGCAGCATAATTCACACTTAAGTAACATTTTGTTATGATGTCAATATCGCAAAAGCTAGATTATTTGTATCCAAATGAAAATAAGTAATGTAAGAATAAGACAAAATGCAACTGTGACTATAAAACGCCAGAGTAAAGAGATAAATACGTGGCTGGGGAAAAAAGTAGCTGATGCTCTAATGAAGCTGACAGTAATGAAGGAAGTAATAAGTAACTTGTTTATAAACAATATTATCCAATATTTGCACTCTTAGTCATTCAATTACTTGTCATGGCACTCAGCATGATTTCCGTGATTGTCCTCTTTATTGAAACATTCTGAAAGTAGGAAATGCCTCTGATGAGCAATACAAATTTTAATGAAGTTTCTGGAATTTGCAATTCTTATCTGTAGCCACTGAGAAAGCAGAAGATGTGTAATCAGAATAATTATTAAAATTACACCTTTATTAACAAATTGATTAAATATCCAAGTGGTATTTGAAATTAGATTAGTGTGCTGAAAGACCAAAGCTTCACTCTCTCAGCTTTTTAAAGAATATTATTCAGGAATTGTCATGAAATATGAATATTTACTTTATCATTGAAAACAGTTCTAAGTATATATAGTTAAAATTATTACTGTGATGGACGCTATATGAGTAGATTGAGAGACGCTGGAGAAAAGTTGGAAATTTCCTTGGCAGTATGAATTCCATGTTTAGAAAAGCTCTTTCTAAACAGTAGCCCAGTATCTCCTTCTACTTATTCCTGAATTTAAGTCAAAATCATGGGTGTCTGACATTTTATTGAAATCAGTGGCAGAAACGCTATTGTCTTCAATGAGAACAGGATCTAGGCCCATACGCTGCTGTGGAAATTAATTTGATGTTAGAAATCCAGCATTATGATTTCACAACAGGATCCTATAGAGAAGATGGGCTAGGATGGAGCAATCCCTTGCTGAAATACTGTGACCCAGACACCCCTTAGCAAAAGGTCCCATGTTCTTTGCAAATAACTCTTACCTCAAATCTAACAAACTCACACTGTTAAACATGTCTTACAGAATATTTATCCACAAAGAGTAACATATAAGGTATCTACAGAAACCTCATAACTTGTAGAGATTCAGAATCACTGTGAGATGTGTATGGAGAATAGTTAAGGGAAAATGTATTATACTGAAAGTATTCTTTATGGACTTGGAGTAGAAATTAGTCCCCAGGAGGTAATGTGTCTCAGTGGTGACCCATTCAAGCAAAAGGGAGTTGTTACCCCTCTCTAGTCAGCGGGTGAGGGAATGCAAGGTTCTATAGTCTACACTTGCCCCATCCTAAAACAGTGAATGGAAAACCATCAAAGGCAATTTCAAATGATGGAAACTACTTGGAGGTTAAAGGGAACATTACAGCTAGGGTGACCAGATGTCCCGATTTTATAGGGACAGTCCCGATATTTGGGGATTTTTCTTATATAGGCTCCTATTACCCCCACCCCCTGTCCTGTTTTTTCAAACTTGCTGTCTGGTCACCCTAATTACAGCAGAGAAGAGATCACCCTGGCTATGAATAAAGACAAAAGACTGTTCAAGTATAACTGAGTAAAGGGAAAGGCACTCTGGATCCATTCACGGTGGAAATCCATTAAAGAGTAGGAGGCTTTTATGAATGTTTGGATCCTGGTTCTTGTGAAACCAGCCAGTTCTGCAATTGACTGAACTTTGGGGGGGGGGACGACATACTTTATTAGATAGGAAAGGTAACTATTGATAAGTGTTGGCGTTTTATGATTTTGTTTAATATTGTAACCAGTTGTTTCCACCACTTTCTCTCCTTTTTAGATAAAGCTTTATTCTTTCTTTATTCTTTCTAAGCCTTTGGTTTTTATCATAAGTGCTGTGTGATTTACAGGAGTGGTGGCTTAAGGAAAACTGATAAATTGGGGTCCACTGCATCTTTGGATGCAGAGCACCTGCAATTTCTGAGAGTAGCCACTGT